CACACACACACACACACACACACACACACACACACACACACACACACAGCAAAACATGTGTGGAACTAAAACATCAAATTAAAGTTTGCCTGCGAAGCAGAAGGAGACAAACCGGGTCTTTGTTGGACCCAGAACCACAGAAGAGGTTCTTGCGTCACCAGGTCTCGTCTCACTTCCTCTTCTGTTAAGAAGGAAGCCAGCASAACCCGAGCAGAACCACAGAGCGGACCAGAACCTGCTGTCCTCACCTGTCAGAGCGTCTCCGTTGGACACGTCACACTGGATGAAGGTGCAGTTCCCCGMTCCGAACTCTGAGTCCAGCTGCTTCTGACACTGCTCCCCGCAGGTCCGGTTCAGGTCCAGAACCGCCACCTGGAGCACAAACAGAACCTTTAAACGGACCCAGAGACACATCTTCATCAGCATCTCTGCAGCAGGAACCAGAACCAGAACCAGAACTGGACCAGATGTTCTGCAGACCTGTGATCAGCAGCAGGAACCAGAACCAGAACCGGGCCAGAGGTTCTGTAGCTTCTTGCAGAAACTTGTACAGGAAGTTTAAACTTTAACTTCCTGAAAAAAGTCTGAAGTTTTTGTAACCAAGTTAATGTGTCACCGGTTCTGTTGGACCTCTGGAACCAAACACAGCTTCAACTAACCAACTGCAACAAGCTGAGCTGCAGGTCCACAAGTTCTACAGAACCTGGACTGTTCAACCACAACAGAATCTGAACAGAAGCCAGCATCACAGCAGRACAGAACCTGTCAGGAGGGCAGATTGGACCGGTACCGACCTTAGCTGAGCTCTGCAGCAGGGACTGGACCRCGGCCCTGCCGATGCCCTGGGCTCCTCCGGTTACCAGAGCCACCTTCCCGCTCAGAGCCATAATGATCCGGACCCGGACCCGTTCAGCGCCTCTCTGGCGAACCGAGCCTCGCTCTGAGGCTTTCCTACCCCCGGTGACGTCACAGAGCGCGCGTGTCTCAGGTGGGAGGAGGTGAAAGATCAGCAGCGGGTCTGCAGAGCTCCGTCCGTCTGTGCACACCTGAKCAGGCTCCAAAAGCTCGTGACGTCACAGCAGACCGTCCTCTGAGTTGCGCAACAGTCCGGTGGTGGAGGGGGAGGGGCTTCAACACACCTGTCTKATCCGAACCCGGTCAGCAGAAACCAACCGAACCAGTCACAGGACTTCAGGTCTTCATCACAGCCTCAGTGTTCTGAATGTAGATCATCCTCATCATCCTCATCCTCATCCTCATCATCATCATCATCATCAGC